GGGGGGGCGATATCAGATCCTTTGAGCTAATCCGCTTAACTCGATATTTTCTGTGTTCGTGTGTCTATTTGTGCTGATCAACCAGAGATGAAAAGATTGTTGGGTTTTTTTTGCAGATGAAGACCTGTTGGGTTAAAGAACAAAAACGGTATTGGTTAAGGCTGATTTATAAATATATAAATACACAAAAAAGCTTACAGTTGACTGATCATAAAACCTTGCTTGGGCACATTTGAAGGATCCCAGATTGTAACTTGAGCATATGTGATTGATAAATCTCAAACTAAAGTTAATGGCACATCCTTTTTACCCTCACATGACACCAGGATAAATGAGGGTGTAGTCGGGAATATTAAGAGAAAAGCAAACCTTTTGGAAGACAACATCATCGCCATGGTAGAAGCAATTAAAGCCACGTTGAAATTGTGTGTCAACAAATGAAGCCAACATGCAAATTAGGAGTGTGTCACTTCTACAGTGAGTGAGGTATAAAAACTTCAGTACAGACTTGAACTGCAATATTCCTGCATAAAGAAAACAAAGCTTTGCTTTGATCTGAAAACTATCACAACTCTAAAGATGATCAATATCAAGGCAGCACGTAGTTATTGAACATCATATTGTTTTTTTAAAAACATTTTTTACCTGCATATTGCGTACACAGCATCATTTACACTTTGACATTTAGTATTGGTAGCTGTGAAATATTAAAGATCCTCAAGTCTTCTGGGGTTTGCAACATCATTTGCAGATCTCTATTATACAGTCAAGTGCATGACAAATGATCCATGTGAGGGAAGTCTCCTGAAACTGTGTTGACACCCAGCTACATACATATACGCATACTCTTAACAAATGTACTTAACTAGCTGTCATAAAAACATGAGCCAAATTCACATTTTCATACCCGCATTTCAGCCGACATCCTAGATTCCTCTGAAAAGTCAGAAATTAATCAAGCACAACGCTCAGCCATTAAAACAACTGTTTTCCTGTTCAGGAATGCAATTAAATAAGAATAATTTGGCATCTTAATCCAACAATAATAATGTTCTTAACATTTTTTTCCAACTACTTTTTGTAGAACAGCAAATTTGAAAATTCATGCATAGCAACAATAATTATATTTCAACATTAAAACATATAATTGTGATTAAAGTGTTTTACATGCTGGTGAACTAATCATTACAGAGACATAAAGAGTAATTTTGGTAATTGGCAATACTGTTAATTTAGGCGAAGCTCCGGGATAGATAGTAGGCATGAAGACTGAATGTAGTGCGACTTTTCATCTCGTCATCTCCCTTTACAGCTCCTCCATCTAACGCACAGTACACATTGCAGTAGCTACACCCTTTTACACATGCTCTACAGTAAAGTAACAAATGACAAGGTTTTACAGGTTAGTTGTATATATTTTGCAAACTTTGTAATATATTGTATTATTTAATTAGTTCAGTCTGTTACCGTTATTGTCTTGGAGCAGCTATAACCCTTTAATAATTGCTAATTTCCTTAGTGGTTATTAAAGTTTTTTTTATTCTGATTCAAAAGAAACGCATTACTACACATTAGGGCTGGGCCATATTATACCGTTCACGGTAATACCGGTATAATGTTAGGCAACGATAGGAAAATGAAATATCGCGATAGAATATGAGTACAACGCGCATGCGCAGTGCCTTTGTTTTCATACGCACATGGCCGATTGTTGAGTGAAACAGATGAACCAGAATTGGTTTGTAAAAATGATGCAACTTCAGTGATGTGGAACTGGTTTGGTGTTTGTCCGTCAGATACACGACAAAGCACATTTTTTTTGCAGAACATGCAAGCGGCTGTTGTTATTGTCATATTTGTCGGACTAAGATGCTCTTAAATCTGGGAGTAATCTGGGTCCTAAACACCGTATCCTTCAGGTCAAACGAACACTGCAGCATCACTGAGAGTTAAAAACTGTCTAAATTCTTTCATCTTTAATAAAACGATCAGCATTGCTGCTTTACCGGGTGTAACTATGAAGTTTAACTTCCAGGCATCCATGAAAACAAAATTTATTACATTTAACGGAGTTAAAAGTTAGCAGGAAGCTAGCAGAAGTTAGCTCGCTAGTTTCGCTAGTTACCTAAGCATGATATTGCATGTTCTGACTGAGAGATTTCTGAAAAAATTCAAACGTACAGCTCTGCTATCACTTCCAACATAAATGACGACAGGAAACTAAACAGTAGTGATGTTTGTAGGGTTACTGAAGTTGGGCTAGCTGGTATATAATGATGTGCTACGTGATCGCTAGCGACACAGCTATGTTAGCATAACCTAAACAGTGAAGCTGGAGGACGAACACTAACACTTTTTCATTTATAAAAGTTAACGTGAAGGTTCCTCATGGTTAGAGACAAATGCAATCGCATGGCAGGATGCTGTAAACGGACCAAACTTCAGTCAGGAGAACAACTGAGATAAATCCACAATACGAGGTTAGTCATTAATATACTGCAACAACATGGGAATAGAGCAGCTGCCAGAGAATTCAACATTAATGAATTAATGGTACAGAAGTGGAGGAAGCAAGAAGAATGAGTTTAATAAAGTTTGATTTATCTGACTGCTTTGTTTCACTTAATGTGCCTTATAATCCCGTGCACCTTATGGTCCGAAAAATACGTACTGCACACTGCAGTTTAATGTTGCAAAGCACCTCTTTTTAACTTCAGTGGATATTATACATGGTTATGCTCAGGATATGTCAGCCCATTTCTACTGGAGATGCCTTTTGGTTAAACTTTCAGCAAGGAATTTGCATTTGCACTGTTACATTTTTATAAAGCTTTAATGTACATAAAAACCAGCTTCTTGTTTAAGTGAAAATAAATGGAAGGTTGTCTTTTTGCGCTAGTAATGTTGTGGAGTTGTATTTTGTCTCGCATCGATTACATCGTCAGTTATATCATTATCGCAAATTTTCAAATATATATCGTGATAAATATTTTTGGCCATATCGCCCTGCTCTACTACACATCATATATTTCTTCAAAGCACACAAGTGTGCATTAATAAATACCCTCTCCCTGCTAGCCATCATTAGATCTTGTAGGTCACTTCTGCTTGCCAGGAAAACCACATTAGAGGATTGTAACTTAATAATAGAAGAGACAGTCAGAGGTAAAAGGTTACACTTTAGAAAGGCACACACAGAAGAGGCCCACGTTTTCCATGTAGATACATTGTTGCAATAGTAGTACGTCTACATTAGTATTTAAAATGTATTACAACAACAAAACCTTACCATTTGAAGTATATTTTATTATTGTAGTACAAAATTAATTCATCACATTTTATGTGGAATATCCCTTTTTTTAGGCTTTGCATGTAGTTTTTGCTTCTTTCTTCTGGTGCCATTGACGGTTGTGGACTCTAAAAGAGCTTCACAGCAGAAATTTGAAGTATACACAATAAAGCATCTACACTTAGAAATAGAGGCACTATGAATCCATCACTCTGCTATTTACTCTGGTTCATAATACATTTAAAAACACATAAATACATGTTCTTTTTCATGGTTTTTCTTTTACACACTAACTCACCCACTTACAGATACATGCAGTAGCCTGATTTCTGTCACCAATCAAGCTCCATTTTCCAACCAAATTAATTCTTTCTAATTTGGAGCTTGCAGCGGTCAACCCCCCGTGGCGCTGATACTGAGCTGTGCCCGTGTGTGTTCATGCACGCATATGCTTTAATGTCTGCGTAAGAAGGCGAGCACATTCTACAATAGATCTTAATTGAGAAGACGGACTGCAATCAGTACGTTCTTGTAGGAAATCATTAAATCATTTCTTCCTCCCCTCTCCTTTTCTTTTTCGCCTTCTTATGGTGATTAGCATGGTGATGATAGCATCCTGATTATGTCCATCAGAAAAATCTGACATCTGTGTTCTCTCCAGTTCTATTACTGAGGAAATTAAAAGTGAGAAGAAAAGAAAAAAAAACCTTGCAAAGTCCCCTAATTACTGTAGTGCATTTAACTGCAGTGTTCTTATTAAAAGTATTAGAGTTGGGGTGCATGTTATACTTGAGTGTTGCTCCTGGTGAATTCAGTTTTTCAAATTCCTGTAAAAGCATTTAGATTTTTTGTAAATACATGTTTGTGCACAGAAACAATGGTTGTAATTTAGTTTAGCAAAATTATTTGACACCCAAAGTACTCTTTTGGGTGTTTTCTCCCCAATTAAATTGTTTTCCCCACCATTTCTCATATAAGATTGTGGACTTAGCCTTGTGTATTGGCTGAAATATTCTTTTGATTTGTCGGATAGAGGGTTTTTATTGAAATAAAATCAAATGAAGAATCTTCTGAATCTGCTTTGATCTGAAAATAGGACCTGCATTCTTCAGTAAAAGCTCTTGACTTTGCAGACATAAAGAAGCCCTACTGGAGCAACCTTGACTCTTAGGACTTTAAATTTCGGATATGAAAAGGAAAAATACAAAAAAAATAAATAAATATAGGATGTAAGCTGTGTATTGTAGAAGCTCTGAAAGGAGTGCAGGAGTGAAAAGAGTGGAGGAAGAGACAGGAATGTTAATGGCACTTTTATTTTATTCAAAGCCAGCGGCTATCATTCACCAGAAGCTTCAGTGAGCCTTCACATTTCCTGTTTTTCTCCTTTTGCACGTTTTAGTTTTTAAGGTGTTGATCTGTGTCATGAAATCAATAATTAATGGACATTATGTTCTGTGAAGTTTGTATGTTCGTGTAGCTGCATGATGGGTTAATTGGCGATGCGGAGGTGTGGACGTGAGCTCGCTTTCTTTGTTAGCACTGTGAGAGAATGGTGACCTGTTCTGTGTGTATCCCAACTTGTTAGAAATCCACTGCTGTGTTATAGCATATCCACAATCACTAATAGAGTCACACTTACAAATGAAACATTCAAAAATCAGCATGTTATAATAATGTTACCTCCTTAATGTTTTCCCATTTGTGTCATTAGGAGATGGCCAAGATTTTGAATCATCCACGCGTCTATGCCTTCCTCCACGTTCCCGTGCAGTCAGCCTCTGATAGCGTACTGATGGATATGAAGAGAGAATATTGCATTGACGACTTCAAACGAGTGGTAGACTTCCTTAAAGAAAGGTAAGGCAGTATATGGACTCCCAGTTGACTGATTATGTCTATGAGTGCAAATGCATATATAAGCATGTGACTACAACTACAAACTCGGGACATATTAAAACTTTCACCTTCATAGGGATACACACACTCTCCTCCTCACTTGTTACTCATTATATACTTGAACAGGAACTGTGTGTCGTAAGTCAGCGGTCCCTGGGCCATGGACCGGTACCGGGGTGGGAGACTTGAGGCTCGGGTGTGAAATTCATGGTTTTCAGGGGTTTTAGCGTTATTTTTATCATCGTTTTTATCATTGACTCGGTTTCCCTGGGTCTTTTTCTGTGTGTTATGAATAAATCTCCATTTTGTTTTGGGTACCGGTACTGGTTTTATTAAGATGTATTCATCTTTGTCACCTTAAAGGCTGGTCCGTGAAAGTATTGTTGGACATAAACCGATCTGTGGCGCAAAAAAGGTTGGGGACTGCTGTCGTAAGTTATCAGAACAGCTCATAGGTGTTGGGAGAACATCTTTCTTTTTGGCTAGCAATGCTGTTTTATACTCTCTTTCTACACTTCCTTCCCTATACTTCCTTTAAGGTATAGATACAATTTAAAATGGATCATTGCTTTTTAGCTGCGAGTTGATGAACTGTTTTTGGTTATGCAAACTGTTGTCTGCCCATCTTTGTGCTCAGATTCCTTATATTGCCTTAATTATCCTACTGAAATATTTAAGGCACATTTTCCAAGCACATTTTCTCTTAGGTTTGGATGATTCGCTTCATAGGCCTAGATGTGCTATTATCTCTCTTTGACATCACCACTGGCCAATGACATCTCTGCCAGGCAACAGAGAATGTTATCCTTCCTCTATAATTCAGTAGTATTGTGGAGGATGGATAACCAGTATAAAGTAACATGCACACGTTGACTTACACTACAAATTTATTGAGCAGGCCCTAGGTGTTTAACATAACTGGATGGATATCTGCTGAACAGCTATAACACCATTTGGTTAAACACTAATAAAACACCATTAACACTTGGATCTTTACTCATTTATCTTAGACCTGGTTTTCCACTATATGGTCCATTTATGTATGTTTTTAATGTATTGTTCTAACATGTAAAATATCTCTCCCGTCTGTTTGGCACTCTTCACTTGCTGTTCACACACAGCAGTTTAGCACAGCAGTGGGGTTATTTTAAAAAAGAGAGAAAACGTAGTATAAAGCGTTTCTGAAAATGCGGGCAGAAATTCAGGCGTGAACCTGTATACACGGACACACCCCAGTGTGTATGTCAGCCTCCAACAGTGTACTGATGCCATTAATAGATGTGATTATTGTTGCTATGGCTCATAAATGTGAGGCTTTTACAAACCATACTTTTCTTTTAGCTGCTGAAAAATGTACTTATTCGAATAGCAGCACTGATCTGTTCTTTTCTTCATGTCCTTTTTCTTTACTTATACGACTCTCTTTCTGTAAGCTCTCATTTGAAACGACATCGCTTTACAAGGTTAAGCATTTCCAACTCAGAATTTACTGGCTGCAGCACCATTTGAATGGTTGAGACCAGATTCCTGGCATACTTTGCAGTAAAGCAAATGTTCCCTTAGCAAATACACAGTGTGACCTCCTCACACAGATTTCAAGAGAAATGTGTACATCTCTGACATGGATTAAATATAACCACATAATGCACAGATGTGACCTCTGACATTGCCAGAAAGATGCAAAATTAATCTTTCAATATATGGAAGATAATCTGTCATAGAGTTTGAGCATGAGCACTGATGGCAGCGCATGTCAGAGGGGTGAATAAACATAAAACTGGTGCTATGATAATATATAATGAAGAGATTCATGGGAAAATCAGTATGTATTCTAGATATGCCCTAGAATGCTTGCTATTACTGTGAGATTTACCAAAAAAGAACATATTTTTAATACGCTGGCATGTTATTGCTCTTACCACATCATAACCTACATTTTCTTTAGCCTGAGTTGTTTGGCATGTAGGAAATATGTAAAACACATGAATATACAACACATGATACCAGTTTGTTATTGTGAGAGTTTCAAAGATGAGAAGGGAGGAAAAAGCAAGCACAAGTAAGGCCTAATCTCAGGATCGACATGTGTTCACTCCAATAATATTCAGATATATATAGATATATCTATATATTTCTTTACTTGTGTTCTTTTTTTGTAAAGTTGAAGACCTTGTTTCATTATAATTTGATCATTTTCATTTACTGCAGCAGTAACTGCGTCATGTATAAGCCAAAGTCAGCTGAGAAAATAAATCTGGATGATTCATTTTACGCAGATCACTCACACACAACCATCTACAGTTAGGCCTGTAGATATTTGTACAATGCTGCATTACATAAAGACTCGCATAATAACCACGTAAATAAGTAGAAGTAGACTTTCAGTTTTAATTCAAGAGGTTCAAAGAAAGGTATTGCTTGAAGTCTTTCTGCATATTCATGTGATACAAAGTCACCTGTTTCCAGAGGCTTAAATGTGGACAGTGTACTGACAAGCAGTTACATGCCTGAGTAAAACCTGTTCCTTCATTGTTCTATGACAATGGCAGATAAAAGATCTGAAGCTGATTCCAAGTATTGAACTAGTTCACTGGTTCTCTGAATTCCCAAGATGTGGTGATGAAGAAGGCGGGAAGACTGGAGATTGTTTGACTGGATAACCTCAAAAAATGAGAAACTTTAGTAGTTGCAAAATCAGTAATCTGGACCAATTTTTTAAAATAATGAATGGATTGACCAGCTTAGTAACACCGAAAGACCTGAGAAACCACAGAAGATGACCAATGTGAACTACAGTATAATTATGTCCTTGGTTCAGAAAAGACCTTCACAACAACTAAACAAGTCAAAAACAGTACCGAGGAGGTATTCATCAAAGCCTTCAATCAAGAGACGCCTTCTTAAATATAAACACAGAATCAGCTTCTAATCTGTGATCACACTGAAAACCAGGAAGGCCAGAGTAGACTTTGCCAGAAAACGTCTAAAAGAGCCGGCACCGTTCTGAAAACCGCACAAGGTTCACTTTTATCAGAATGATGGGAAGATAAGAATATGGAGAAGCAAAGAAGACACTTGATCATCTGAAGCATACCACGTTATCTGTCATGGTGGAGGCGATGTTGTGGCATGGTCACGTATGGCTGCAAGGGGAACCGGGTCACTAGTGTTTATTTGATGATGTGACTGCTGATGGAAGTAGCAGGATGAACTCCTGCTCAGATTCAGCCAAATGCTGCAAAAGAGAAGCTCACAGTGGGTTCTAGACTTTAAAGGTCACTGATTGCATATTTATTGTCATCCAAGTGTTAAAAGCAATCATTATCTTTAACATTATACTAGTTTGCTGGATTACTTTTGAAAACTTGGGCTGTAATTGCTAAACAGTGCCAGAACTGGAAATGTCTCTCATATCTTGATGGTTTGATTTAAAATCCACTGTCCTGGTGTAAAGAAGTCAAATTCCCCAAAAATGTGACTTTTCAAGAACAAATCTTGTGAAATTAAACTGTACCTTTAAACACTCTGTGCATTTACAGGCTTCACAGAACCACTCCCATGTTTTTTTCCCTTCCTCACATGTCCATATGTTATTGTGTCTTTGTGTACATGTGATACTTTCTGAGTCACTGTATCTCTTTGGATACAGTGACTCACAACGCACTTGCAGGTCTTGTTTTTATCTCTGACCACATCTCCCATTTACACTCTTTTCTCATCCAGTCTTTCCCACATTCCCGTTGTTTTCCCTCTGGCCCTCTGTGGATACCCTGCTGACATAAAACACGAGCCCCATTAGTCTGAAATTCACCTTTTCTCTGTTCTTTTAGATACTTTATTTATATCCAATATGTGACCCCATTTCCAAAAAATAGTTGATATGCTGTGTAAAATGTAAATGTAAACAGAATGCAGTGATTGCTAAATGTCATAAACCTACCCGTTCATAGAACATGCAAATGTCATCAAAAGTTTAAACTGAGACATTTTTAAACTTCTCCTTTTTTACTGAAAATGTTAGCTTATTGTATTTTATGGAGGCAAAAGATTTCAAAGATTGGGACTGGGACATTAAAAGACTGGGACAAATAAGTGGTACTAAAAATGTTTTGCAACTAATCAGATTTGTTGGCAGCAGGTCAGTAACATGATTGGGTATAAAAAGAGCACCTTAGAGAGGCAGAGGTTCACTAATTTGGAAAACAAAATACTTCTCCAAGCAATTTCAGAATAATGTTACTCCATTTAAAACTGTTAATACTTTGAATATCTCTTCAGCTACAGTCAATAATATCATCAAACATTTTGAGAATCAGGAGAAATCTCTCTGTGCGAGGTACAGTACGAGGATGCTTTTGATCTTCTAACCCTCAGCCAGCAATGAATTAAAAACAGGCATGATCCCATCATGGAAATCACTGCAAGGGTTCACAAACACAAATCACTGTCTGTGAACCCAGTTCACTGTACCAGCCAAAAGAAGCGAGACCAGCCAGCTTGTTATCAGCCTTAGAGGTTGCATTAATGCCTGTGGATCTGCAGCTTGCACATCAGGAATGGCACCGTCAATGCTGAAGAGTTACAGGTTATACAGGCTTTAGAGCAAGATATACTCCCATCCAAATGGTGTCTTTTTCAGGGAAGGTCTTGCATATTTAATCAAAACAATGCAAAACTGCTTGCGGCACCTATTATAACAGCATGGCTTCATGGTAGGAGAGTCCAGGTGCTGAACTTACCTGCCTGCATTTAAGCGCTTTCATCAGCTGAAAACATTCGGCACACCATGAAACAAAAAATACGACAAAGACCCAGAACTGTTGAGCAGCTTTAATTGCATTTCAGACAAGAATGGGACAAGAGAACTCTTACAAAAGTCCAGCAACTGGTCTCCACAGCACCCATTTGCAGATGGTTTTAAAAGAGGAGGGGGTCCTGCACCGTGGTAATCATGGTCCTGT